AGCGGGAACTTGAAGAAGTTATCTTCACGTCTGTCACAGCAGCGGCCTCCGCAGCGGGTCCTACCTACGTGAAGTTGCTGCAGGTGCCTAGAACGCTTTCAGTTTTGCTGAGCGCAGCCGTGCTGCCGACTTCTCGGAAACCTAGGCAATTTGCCTTTATGACGGGCGTTTCATGACTGGTTGATAGGATTTATTTGCACTGTTTGCAGTGGATTGCCACTCGGCCAGACCTGTTTAACGAGTCTCTCTGCGCGAGATGTGCAAGGTAAGAACACTGCTGCCGATGCACGTTCAGGCTGGTCTGGCGCTGCAATCGCCAGCCCACGAAGACTCGAGGCTTTTTTGTCTGCCGTGTTTTCTGTTTCAACTAAAGACTCCAGACATCAGCTCGTCCTTTCTCCTACCCTCGAGCGGCGTTACTTCTCCGCGAGCAATTCGGCGATGACGTGATGCGCCACCTCTTGCTTGACCCGAAGTAAGTTATCGCCGGCAATTCTTCTATTCCGCGATCAGCTCTTGATCTGCCAGCTTGCCCCGGCAAAAGTTTCACGCATTTCCTGGCTTCTGATATATATTATCTCTCTAGTTCTATCTATGTAGAATGTACGGTTCAGCACATCGTCGTTTCGTATTTGCGTGTAGGCCTATCGGATGCGGCTGCATTGCCCAAGTCTACCGCGCATATCTTTTATTATCGGATGAGGCGGATGAAAAGTCAAAACGAACTTTTCTCGATCACGCATTCGTTTTGGGCGGAAGCTTGTCGAAACCAGTTTCTGCAGAAATAGGCAACACAGACAAGATTCCTCCAGTTGCTGTTGCGGTGAAAGTTATGCGGCCAGGAGTGCGCGAGGCTATGGAATTCGGTGTGACGCGCCGTCTTGTCTTCACTAAAGTAGCGTAGCGGTTTCTTTGGAAAGTAGTCTATTTTATGCACCATGTAATTGTGTGACTCCTCAGTGCCCGTGTCGTTTCTGAAACAATGTTGCAGATCTACGTGTGATGCTCCTGATCGCTTCGGTACTTCAGTATCTGCCTGCCTTTGGATTTGTCGCTTTGAAAAACAGGTAAGGGGGCACACAATCGCGTGCCCCTTGATAAGATGAGGTAGCGTTTTTAGCTGCAGCTTGATCTGCATCCTGTGGTGCCAAGATGAGATGCAGCAAAAGTGAATGCCTCGAAGGCAGCGACTCGAAGCTGTGTTTGGGGCTTCAGCTTATCTCCGTGAAACTTCTCCGCTTCTAAACCAGTGTGCTGTGTGTGTGCCCTCATGGTATCATATTTCAGGCTTTGATTGAGTTCAGTTGTGCGTAGCTCGCTTAGGTCTAGGCACGGGCAGGATCCTGATGTGCCTGCACTGCGCCTCATATGTGGGCAAAATAGGCATCAGCTATTTTCTGTATGAGCCAGAATAAACTACATTTTGTCTGCAGCGTGGAGGAGTTTGCAGTGACGATGCGGCGGCAACTGGACTTCGGGTTGGAGGAGAAACACCTGAAGCTGTTCCGCTCCAACTTTGGGCTTTCGTCCACTCCAGTTCCTGACGATCTGCTGCCGCTGCACAACAAGTGCAGGCGCAAGAAGCACTGCGGCCCTCTGCCAATAAACTCAAAGGCGGAGCAGCACCACACCAATATCCTCGGCTCTCTGTCAAGGAAGATCCTTGGGATGCGCCGGCAGGTCACCTTTCCCTACCCATTCGAGGCGCTGAGCAGCAGCGAGGTGCTAGTTATGACGCTGGAATCAGGATTTACGCTGAATCAGCTCTTTAAGGCCAGAGCAAAGCAGCAAGACGCGCCTGCCGGAACGCGGAAGCCCCAAGGCGAATCTGATTCAGACACAGCTGGGCGAAGCCACCAGGACGATTCAGGAGCCCTTTCGAGCCCAGTGGCCCGAAGCATAATAGAGGTGCAAAATTTGGTGGACTCTTGACCTTGCGAGCCCCGTATCTCGTTCAGCTTTTGCCTCATAACATGAAAGCAATTCGTGCAGCTATTTACTGATTCGCCAAGGACGACTGCGCCAAGCCTTGAATCGCGTCTTTGCGTTCGCCTTCTATTCTGTACTTTGAATCGCAGCGATTTAACAGCGTTGGAATGATTTGCCTTCACTCCTTCCTCCAAATGGTCTTCCTGGATAATTTCTTCCATGGCGACATGCACAGCGGCAACCTCCTGTGCCGCTTTTCCCACAACAACAAGGAGGTATTTTTATTTCCTTCATTTCCTCTTTCACTCTTGAGTACCTGCAGCACTGGATTCCTCCTGTGTTCTGCAGCAAATGCAGGGCGTTGCCACAGTGGCCATTGAAGGCTGCGGCAGTTTCAGATTGCGCTGTTGCAATTCAGCTCATTTTCCCGGTTCTTTCCACGATTTTGCCAAATCGCCAGCTGAAAAATGCGCCAAAACTTGACGGTGAGTGTAGCGCCTGCTCTGGACCAGTCGAAGTTGCGACCTTGCACGCGTTTTGAATGCGAAATTTCTTCGGTCTTCCTCCTCATGCGCCATAATATTTGCAAGTGAATCCAACAGCCCCCTGAGCGGTTAAAAGAACATCCTCCTTTTGCCACTGTGTTGCGATCTGCATGTCGAAGGGCCACTGGAGTTGGTCGTGCTGGACTGCGGCCTAGCTGGCTCGCTAGAGCAGGCTGATCGAGTGAACTTCGTCACACTTTTGGAGGCTGTAGGAAAGAAGCGCGGGAGAGATGCAGGTTTGCAGCCACTCAGCAGCTGCACATATCAATTACTCCCTTAGAAGTGCAAAAAGTGAAAATTTGGAAATAGGGGTGCTTAAAGGAGCCAGGCGCGGGCTGATGATGGAGCCATTAATTCTGTTTTTCTTGCGTATCCCTGCATGCTATTCGTATTTCAGTCGGCAAGGCTAGGCATATCAGCGGGGCTATATTGTTAGATGATTGCAACAATTCAGATTTCGGACTGCGGCTGTGTGTGTGGCCTTTTGACTAGCCTTGGCTATGCTCCAGAGAGCTCGAAGAAGCGCATGCAAGGACGAAGATGGCTTTTGCTCCGAGGTGGAGAAACTCATCGACGAATATCATTTTGAGGTTGGTGCTGTAGTTTCGCTACGAGAAGAAGAAAGAATTCAATTTGAGCTGTTTGGCCTTCGTACTGGATGCTTCCTCCAAAGTCTGCAAAACCGTTCTTGAGTGATTCTGTGCTTCCTTCTCAGGAAGGCAACTCGTTGCAGATGAGTCGTGTTCGGTTCACCTCTTTAATGGGGCAAATGCTTTCACTTTCAAAAAAGTACTGCGTGGAACTAGACCCGTCGTTTGTCTCGGTAGGCTGGCGTTTCCCTGCAGCGCGCTGCAGGCAGCCCATTTCTGTTTTCTGTTTTCAGGACTCACAACTGAAAGACATTTTGCTTTTCTTTGTTGCGGGTTGCAGATTGTTGTGGCAATGTCTGTTTTAGAAGGAGTAGGAGCCCAGCTCTGCCCCGATGCTGACGTGCTGCGGACTGCCCTGCCTTACACTCTCATGGCTGCGAAGCTTCTAGGCTGCGACAGCGGCTAGCAGAGCTGATCTAGGAGTTCCAGATTTGTTTCAGTGAATCCTTTAATTGAAAAAAAACTCATTTTCCCAGTAGCCCGCGACGCAGATGCAGTCTTGCGGGCACTTTGTGTTTTTGTTCAAGTTCAGAGCACGAGCCGCGCTGCGGTGGCGCAGTGCTCTCGTTGGCTGTGGACAATTGTTCCTCCCACGGAACAGCTTCTCTTGCGAAGCATTTGTCTTTCGCTGCTGCTGCTACAGCCCCATTGTAGAGTTCCTAGGCCTGGCTTGCTGTAGAGTACTGGCACTGGCAGCTGCAGCACAACGGCGCAGCAGAAGCATTTCAAATTGCACTGATGCAAGTCACTGCACTGCTTGCAGCGAATGGTTTAGGAAGAAAGCTTTGTCAACAATCTTCCGTCAACAAGAATTTTTTGAAAGTGAGAAAAAGGGCAGATGAGGCCTTTGTTGCTAGAACAAAATTATTTCACGTATTTGGACTGAGCATGCAGAGCTGCGTCCTTTGGGGGCCAAGCACGGCTGGCTGATATAGGACAGGCATCCTTCCCTGTCCCAATCAGTGATCATTTGAAATATTGAAAATGATTTAATTTGTCCTGTACAAAGCTTCTTCAAAAAGGAGAGGAAGCGCAAGTCGTTTTTGTTGTGGCGTGGCTTCAAGATTGCTTGCGTGGGGGCATCTGCTCGTGTCCACCCACATTTACGCCAAATATAACTCCTTGGATGGACACAATACTTCTTAAGAATATATGTTTATGTTTAGTAATATATATATGTGTAATTAAGCCGCTGAAAGCCTCTGAATGCTCCTGCAGCTCCACAACCGAGTCCGCTAAGGACATGCCACACCGCGCAACCAGCGGAGCTCGCGGCTGCAAAAGGTATTTGTAGACATTCTTAACAGCGCCTATAACGAATCTGAAGGTTTTCAACTCAGGTTTCAACAAATCAAGAGAGACACTCACGGCATCGAAGACCGCTGGTCCCGGGAAGCAGCCACGTGGGTGGCCACTGGTTCTCTCGGCAACCAGGCACAAGTAAGCGTATTCTTCATTTTTTTTCAAATGCGAATTCCTCGGAATAAATTAAATTAAACAGAAATTAAGACCCGGAAAGGCGGTACAACTCGCCCCACTTCTCCCGATGCAGCAACCGCCGAGCATGCTCAGCAGCAAATATGGTCTCGGGCAGTGGTTAGTGACCCGTGGGGAACACGCGGCAAACTGCCCACCATCGGTGTTAAAAAAGCAAATAATATGCGAATTATGTGTTTAAAAGCTGCCAAAAAATTCAACTTTCCCCTAAGAAACTTCCACCAGTTCCTGTTTCGGCGTCTTGCTGGATGAGCTCAGGTCTTGCCGGCTTGAGAGGAATCCCGCCGCCGCACCTCCCCACTGTGCACTCTTTTGAAGCAGATTATTATATTTCAGCGTCTGATGGTTAAAAAGTGTTTCAATCTTTGCAGTGTTTATCATGGCGGATCCGAAGAGCCCTCCTCCTGCAGCTGAGGAGGAGCGCTTTCGCGTGGCAGCGCATGATCCAGATCTCCCTGCGCACCAGCAGCAAGAAGCAACTAGGAAGCAAACAGAAGAAGGCGCGGTTTTAGTGGAAGAAGAGGAGGAATTTGGACCAAAAGGCGTTTCTGGGGCCTTCGCGTGGGTCCCTGTGTGGCGAAGACAGCGAGAAGTTCTTCCCGAGCGGGTTTTGCTGCCTCCTGAAGAGCCCTTCGACTTCAGGCATCTATTCGGATTAAAGGTGCGTCCTGGGGCTTTCTGGCTTCCAGCAGCGCAGCAGCAGCGGCAGCGCAGCAGCAGCAGCAAGCCCAGCAGCAGCAGCCCAGACTAGTTAGCTGCTTAGGCTGCTGCTGCCCTGCGTGGGCTGCAGCTTCCCCCCCTGCAGCTCTCTGAGGCAGTTCAAGTTGCTGCTGCTGCGGGCGTCGGTCTTCCCGCGCTGCGGGTTGGTTCGGAAATTTTGGAGAAGATTCGAACAAATCTTGTGACTCTGATAGCAGGTGATTGGATTTGTTTCTTTAAGTCTTTAAAAAGAAATAAATCTGCGTTTTTAGAGTTATTTTGCTGCATGCAGTGCTGCCAGCAGCATGCATGCACTGCGACCAGTAGTTGCTTTGCTTGCTTCCCACAGGCCCGGCCTGCTGCGGCAAAACCACGGCTGTGCCGCTGCTGCTGCTGCTGCAGCACAAAAATGCAAAAGTTTTAGCTGCACTGCCTCGGCGCGCAGCAGCAAAAGTGGCAGCTGAGAGCCTCAGGCGGCTTTTGGGGGAAGACGCGCTCGGTAAGCGCAAGACGGAGCAGCAGCAGCTTGCTGCTGCTGCTGCTGCTGCTGCTCATCTTTGCTGCATTCTCTTGAAATGAAAGTCTTGTTACGAGCTGCTAGTACAGAGCTCCGATACACCGCAGCGTGCTCGCGAGCTGCGGTCCAGATGCTGCTGCGTTGCTGCTGCGTCGCTGCTGCGCTGCTGCTATGCTGCTGCGTTGCTGCTGCCCTGCCCCTGCTGCTGCCCTGCTGCTGCGTTGCTGCTGCGGCTGCACTTCCAGGGGAGACAGTGGGCTACCACGTGGAAGAGGAAAAGCCGGTGAAGTCCGAGAAGACGCAACTGCTGTTTGTAACTGCTGGAGTGCTGCGGAAGTACATCTCGGGTGCGCTGCAGCAGCTGCAGCAGCAGCAGCAGCAGCAGCAGAAGCAGCCGCAGGCGGCGGACGAGGGCCCCCCCAGGGGGCAGAGGGCCCCTTGGGAAGGGCAAGAGTGCAGCAGCACGGAGGATGTCTTTTTTCCAGACTTTTTGCTGCTTGATGGGGCCCAGGAAAGGACTGCAGACTGCGACTTGTCTTTGCTGCTGGCGAAGCAGCTGGTGTTTAGGGCGACAGCAGCAGCAGCAGCAGCAGGGCAGCAGCAGCCGCCGTTTCGGCTGGTCGTCATGCTTGCTGCTGCTCGCGTGAACGAATTTGCTGCCTTTCTTTCAGCAAAAAGCCTCAACTCCTTCCAGGCAGGGCTTTCGGCGGAAGCAGACGAGGCGGCGCTGCAGCAGCTGCTGCTGCCGCTGCAGCAGCTACTGCTGCCTGGCCTGGCGGGCCGCAGGGGAGCCGCAGCAGCAGAGCAGCTCAGGGGCTTGGCCAGCAGCTTGCTGCTGCCTCTTGCTGCGCTGAGGAGCAGCGGCCCCACTCCGCCCGCTGCCGTGGCCGAGGAGCTGCAGCAAGCAGCAGCAGCAGCAACAACAACAACAACAGGCTCCTTCAACTCTAAAGAGGTCTTGAGCAGCAACTTCTTGCTGCTTCCGGGGAATCCCACTTTCGCAGTTGAAGAACTGTTCTGGGGAGGCCCTCTAAAGCTGCTGTCCAGCTTGCCTGCAACTGCAGCAGCAGCAGACCTCTGCGCTGCTGCTAGTCCTGCGCTGCTGCGCTGCATGGGCCTGGGGGCGGCCAGCAGCAGCAGCAGCAGCAGCAGTAGCGGCAGCAGCCGCAGCAGTAACAGCAGCAGCAGCGGCAGCTCGCCCAAGGCCCGCAGCTGGCAAACCGGATTCCACGGCAGTTCCTGCCTCCGCTTTAAAAGTGGGAAGGGGCAGCAGCAGCAGCAGCAGCAGCAGCAAAACTGCAGCAGCGACAGATTTGAAATGCCGCAGCTTCACCGTGGGCGCCTCCAGAGAGCAGCAAATCTGCTGCTCCTCATCCACGTGCAATGTTTGCTGCGTGGGGCCCCACAGCCAGCCGTGCTGGTTTTCCTGCCGGGTAGGTGCTGCTGCTGCTCTCGGGCCAGCAGCAGCAGCAGAGTTAGCCGTCTGGCATCTCTGCTGCTGCTGCTGCTGCATCCTCTCAGCTCCTGCTTGCTGCCTCCGTTGACGGTGCAGGCAAGCCCGAGATCGCAGAGATGGCGCGGGCGCTGCAGCAGGCCGAGGCTGCAGCAGCATCAGCGCTGCAGCAGCATTTTGGGGGCCGCCCAGGGAGCTGCTGCTGCTGCTGCTGCTGCAGCACCGCAGGGGCAGCCGGCCCTTCCCCCACTGCGGTCGAGCCCTTGCAGGAAGCAGCGCAGCAGCAGCTGCAGCTGCAGGTGCTGCAGCTGCACCGCGACGCCCCCATAGAATGCTTCACGCGGACCCAAAGCCAGCTGTCCAGCAGCAGCAGCAGCAGCAGCAGCAGCATGAGCAGCAGGATGAGAGTCATTTTGGCCACGGACTTCGACGAAAGCAGCTTCCATTTCGCCGGAGTCCAAATTGTGTTCGACTTTGCCCTCGTCAGGGTGCGCCCCTTCAGTAGCTGTAGCAGCTGCAGCTGCAGCAGCTGCAGCAGCTGCAGCAAGAGCAACTGCAGCAGCTGCGGATCACGCGGAGCTGCTGCTGCTGGGGGGTGGCTTGAGCTAGCCTGAGGGTAGCAGCTGGGCTAAGGGGAAAAGGCAGGGTGAGGGTAAGCAGCAAATAGCCGCAGCAGCTCGGGAGAAGCAGCAGCTTTGGTGCTGCGCTGCTGCAGGAGAAGTGCCTCAAAGAACCTAGCAAGACTTGCTGCTACGAGCTGCGGTGGGCGAGCCGCGCCGTGCTGGCGCAGCGCAAGGAAATAGCAGGTAGCTGCTGGCAGCGGGCTGCTACTGCTGCTGCCGCTGCTGCTGCTGCAGCTGATCGGATTTTTGCCTTTTCCTTTCCCTGCATTGCCTTTGGGCGCCTGCGGGGCCTTCTGCAGGCTGGAAGCAGCAGAAACCCTCTCCCAGCTGCTGCGCTGCTGCGCCGCCACGCTGCTGCGCTGCTGTGCTGCTGCGCTGCTGCGCTGCTGCAGGCCAGGCCGGGGAAGGGGTCTACATTTGCTTCATTTCGCAGCAGCTGTACAGGTCTCTGGAGTCTTTTTCTTTGCCGGAGTTGCAGCGGCTTCCTTTGGAGAAGGTGGGGGGAGAAGCTGGCTGAGGCGTTGGCTTGCCGGAGGATCTTGTTTGTGCAGCTTTTCTGAATGGCCTGGAAACTTGAACTTTCTTTCTTCAGGTTATTTTGAATCTCGTGGCCGATCTTCCGGAAAAAAACACCAAAAGTGCCTTTTTTTGCCTCGCAAATGCTCCAAATCCGCCTGACGCATGCAAAACCCTCGAAACTATTTGCAATTTGGAAGCAGCCGGTGCGCGAGAGATGCCCACGGAAACTTGAATTTCAGTTCTTTTCTCTTCATTTCTTTTCATTTCTTTTCGTTTCAATTCTCTTCTTTTATTTCCATTTCATTTCTTTTGATTTCTACGGCTTCATTTGTTTTATTTAATTGCGTTTCGTTCCCTCTGATCTCATGTGGTTTCGTTGCATTTCATTTCAGTCCGTTTCATTTTGCTTCATTTGATTCCGTTCCATTCCATTTCGTTTTATTTCCATTTTGCTTCATTTTCATTCCATTTAATTTCACGCTACATTTTATTTCCTTCCATTTTATTCCTAATTCCGCACTGTAACTTTCGTTTCATTTTATTTCATTTTGTTTCAATTCATTTGCTTTCACCTCTTGAATTACTTCACATATCATTAAATCTTTTTTTCTGCATTTTTTTGCTTCTGCAGGCGCTCTTGAGCTCGGATCGCCGTCTTTTCCGTTTTCGCGTTTGACTTCTCTGGGCCACGTGGCTCTGCTTCTGGCTTTGCCAGTAAATGCTGCTCGCCTGGTTCTTTTTTCTGCAGCATTTGGAGTTTTGCCTGCGGGATTGTGGGCTGCTGCGCTGCTGCTTAGCAGCAGACCCACAGTTTTCGAACTCCACCGTGAGACTCCGCGCTCCGCAGCCCCTCCTGTGCGGCTGCTTTGCTGCAGCAGCTCTGCTGCTGCCCTCCCAGAAGCTTGCTGCAGAGGGGTGCAGCTTGTGGCTTCTGCTTGCGGCTTTCTGTGGGGTGATAATGTTGCTTCTGCAGCAAGAGGCGGCAAGTCTGGCGCGCTTTCTGACTTGGAAGTTTTGCGAAGAGTTGCAGCTCGTTCCAAAAGGCTTGCTGCTGCGGGCTGCAGCAGCAGCAGCAGCAGCAGCAGCAGCCTCTTTCCCAGGGCTGCTGAGGCGGCCCAGCCAAGGCGCAGCAGCTCTGGCCTAGCGCCCGAGCTCCGGGGCCCTCCCCGGGGCTCAACAGGACCCCCACCCGCTGCTGCTGTTGCAGCTGCCGCTGCTGCTGCTGCTGAGTCCGCCAGCAGCTCCAGCAGCTGCATCTGGGGACAAGCCATTCCGTGCGACATCTGCGTGGACGTCGTCGCGCTGCTGCTGCTGCACCGCCACCATGGGAAGCGCCTGAAGCTGCTGCTGCAGAGCCGCTGCGCCGCAGCGCAGCACCAGAAAACACAGCAGCAGCAGCAGCAGCGAGGCAGGAGGCGGCAGCCGTTTTGCACGGAAATGAAGCTGCTGGAGCTGGATCTGGAGGAGCGCGGCGTGTCAGTGCCAGGAGTAGCTGAAGTGGCATTTCATTACTTCGCCTTATCCAAAAAGCTGCTGCAGTCGGGCCTTTTGCCTTTCCCGGGGGCCTCCAGAGCAATTCCGGACTCCCTGAGGGGGCGCAGGGCCCCCCCGGCTGCAGCCGGGGACCCCGAGAAAGCCTGGGGCCCCCTGGGGGCCCCGGGACCCCCGGGCGGGCCCCCGAGGGGGCCCCTGGGGGGGCCCCCTGGGGGGCCCCTGGGGGCCCCGGGGGCCGTGGAGGGGCTTGTGTGGCGGCTGCAGCTGGCCGTGGGTGCTGCTTGCATGCCTTTTGGCTTTGCGAAGTGCGAAGACTGCCCGCCGCTCAGTTTTCCGGATTCGGGGCTGCGGGCCAATTCGCATTTCGCCTTCAATGTTTTGTGCCTCGAGGCGTTTCGAGAGCGGCCCGAACTGCGGTGCCGCGCGGCGGTTCTCGAAGCTGCGGCGCAGCGCGCAGAAGCAGCAGCAGCAGCAGCAGCAGCAGCGGCAGCAGCAGCGGCGGCGGCGGAGGCCCCGCCCCCTGGCGGCTGCGCCAAAGAGGAAAGCAGGCTGGCGGAGGGTGTCTTCGCAGCAGCAGAAACCACTGAAGCAGCAGCAGCAGAGACCACTGGAGCCCCGGAAGCAAGGACCAGGGGACCACCAGCAGCAGCAGGGACCAGCGGAGCAGCAGCAGCAGCCGCAGGGACCCGTGAACCACCACCACCACCAGCAGGGACCAGGGGCCCCGCAGCAGCAGCAGCAGGGACCAGTGGCCCCGCAGCAGCAGCAGAGGCCCGCGGGCCAGCGAGGAAGCGTCCTCGGGCGGTGCAAAGCGTTGCTGCTGCAGCAGCAAAAGCCCGGGGGGGGCCCCGGGGGGGCCCCCCTGGAGTGTGGGGCCCCGGGTGTCTGTGCAGCTTGGCATTTGCTGAAGGCTCTTCGGAAGCGCCTTCTCTTCGCCAGGGCCATTTGGAAGAAGAGGCGCAGCTGCTGCTGGGGACTGCAGCAGCGGCGCACGAGCAGCGGTGGTCTCAGTGGTATTTCGCGAGGGAGGCGCAGCTGCTGCTGCGCTGCAGCAGCAGCCTGCGCTCCCGCCTGCTGCTTGCTGCTGCGCTGCTCCAGCAGGCCGCCCCCAAGCCTCTGCTGCCAGCAGCGCAGCAGCCGCAGCTTCTGGTCAGCAGCTCTTTCGGGACTTGGATGCTTCAGCAGCAGCAAACGCATGCAAAGCTTCTGCAAGAATTCAGCAGCCTGCAGGCCCGCCTGGAGGCCTGCGGGCTGCTGGTGGGGCCCCCCAGCAGCAGCGCGGGGGCCCCGGGCCCGGGGGGCCCCACTGGGGGCCTCCCAGGCAGCGAAAAGGGGGCCCCGGTGCTGCAGCAGGAGCTGCTGCGCGCTGCGGAGGCGCTGGATGCTTTTGCTGCTAAGCTGCTTCTGTTCTGGGGGCCCCCTGGGGGCCCCGGGGGGCCCCCTGGGGGCCAGGAGGTGCCAGAGGCGCAAGATGAGGGCTTTTGCTGCAGCCCTTGGAGCCGTTTCTTGAGGGCCTTGTTGGCCACAGACGTAGAGAACAGGAGCCGTACACCCCAGCAGCAGCAGCAGCAGCAGCAGCAGCAGCAGCAGCAGCAGCAGCCCAGCACGGCGCGCGTTTTCAAGATATCAGAGCAGTCTGTGCTGCACAGCAACGGCCCCTTTTACCCAGAAAGTGGGGCTGCTGCTGCCACTCCCACAGCGACTTTTCGCAGCGTTTTGCCGAAGCTGCAGCAGCCCGCACTTGTCTTTCAAGTCTTTTGCTGCTACAGCACTGCTGCTGCAGCATTTTGCTGCCTTTGAGCCCCCTTTTGCTGCATTTCGAGCTCTTTTGTGTCTGGCTTTCGCGTGCTGTTGTTTGTGTGCTTTATTTCTTATTTTTGGATGGATGCTGCTGCACTTGAGATCTTCGAGCTGCATTTCGTGTCATTTGCTGCTGCACTTTGGCGTCAGTTGCTGCTGCATCTGCGTTGGTTTGCTGCTTCTTGGTGCAGGCTACTCGCGGGAGTTTCTGCTGCTGAGCCTCAAAGAGTGGAGCCCAGAGGCAGGCTATTCCAGCGGGATTTCAGAAGTTGAGGCAGCTTCGTTGCTGCTGCCGCTGCAGCATTTGGAGGAGCTTCTTCTTTTGCTGCTGTCGCCGGCGGTCTGTGTCTTCTTGGGGAAGAGCTGTTTGTGCTGCTGCTGCAGCTGCTGCCCCTGCAACCCCGCGGCGAAGCAGCAGCTGCAGAACAGCGCCGGGGGTAGCGGCTGCTGCAGCAGCAGCTCCAGCGCTGCCGGGCGAGGCCCCCCCAGCAGTGCTGCAGCAGCAGCAAAAGCAAGTTCTTGCTGCTGCTTCTGCCTGAGAGGCGCAGTCTGCTACGCCGTGGTGTCCTTTGGGGGCTTTCGGGAGTTCGGCTGGGTGCCCCGGTTTCTGTGGAAAGCAGAAGAGCTGGAGCTGCTGAAGGCAGCCCGAGCAGCAATTGCTGCTGCCTTCAATCTCCCGAATCTTCGCAGCAGCAGGGGCGTGGCTGCTGGCAGCAAGGAGCGCCCAGCTGCTGCTGCAGGAAGCAACAGCAAGGACTTGGGCGCTCGCTGGAAAGCGGGGGAAAGCAGCGGAAGCGAAGCTGCAAGTGAGGCGGAAGCTTTTCAAAATAATGAAGAAGAGGCGAATGGGGAGTGGGGGCAAGCTGGAGAGGCTGCTGCTGGTTCAGATTTCGACGGTTTGCTGCAGCAGCTGCTGCGCCCCAAGACCCGGCTGCAGCACAAGCAGCAGCTAGCAGCCACCACGGCCTCTGCGCCTCTCCGAGAAAGAAAAATAAACCCAAAAGAGAGCCAAAGAGAACAGACTCAGCCGCAGTTTCCGGGCCCGCGGCCCCCGGGCGACGCTGCCCGCTGCTGGGCTGCGCTGGATCTTGCAAAGCAGCAAGAAAGGCAGCAAGAGGGGCCCCCAGGGGTTTTGCTTCGCTTGAGGACTTTTGACTTGGAAGGCAACGAAGTGGGGGCCCCCCAGGAGGCACTGACACCAGCCAGCGGCGGAGTTCAAGTTCCGGGAGGGGGAGGCGAGAAGCAGCAAAAAAGGCGAAAGAGAGCAGCAGCTGCTGCTGCTTCTTCTGCTGCAGATCCTCTCGCGGCTTCCATTGCAGATGCGCTGCAGCAGCAGCAGGCCCCACAAGCGCCCAAGACGGCCACTCTGCCGGAGGGAGCTGGCCCCAGCATGTGGGGGCTGCCTGCTTCCTGTTTGCTGCTGCTGCAGCGCCCGCAGCTGCCTGCGCTTTCCTCACTGCAGCAAGAGGCTGCCTGGAGACGCCTGCCTGCAGCAGCACTGCCTTGCTGGGCGAGGAAGCTGCTGCTGCAGTGCGCCAACAGCTGCTGCAGAGTTCCGCTAGGGCTGGTTGGGGACCTGCAGCAAATTTCTGCTGCTCGCCTGCCCCCGGAGGCTTCCCCGTGGGCCAAACTGGCTTTCAAGTACATTTTTGAAGAGCTGCGGGCCCCAGCAGAAGCAGCAGCAGCAGATCTTCCCTCGGGGAAGTCTGCTGCAGCAAGAAAAGGCTCCGCCGGCTTGCAGGAGGCGCTGCTGCAGTGGCTGGAGGAGGCGGAAGTGCTGCGGCCCGCTGCAGCAGCAGAGATCCGGAAAGACACAAAAAAGACACAAGAGCCCGAGCTGTGGGTGCTGGACTCCAGCAAGATCGGGCAGAAGCTGCAGAGGGAGTGCGAGACGTGCTGGGCGGAGGGGGAGCGCGCTGCAGCTGCTGCAGCAGGAAGCTGCTGCAGCAGCTGGCCGTGTGTGATCAGCTGCTGCTTCTGCTGCCAGCTAGTGCCGCTGCTGGACGACGAGGAAACTTCGCTGGCGAAGCTGCGGCTGGAAAGCCGGCTGCTGCTGACCCCCTCAAGCCTGGCCCTTGTGTACGGCTACTTGCAGCCGCTGCTGCGGACTCGGCAGCGGCTGAAGCTGCTGCTGCTGAGGAAGCAAGAAGAGGTTTCGGCGTTTGGGAAAAGCGCAGCAACTCTGGCGCAGCAGAACCGCCTGAAGCAGCAGCAGAGCCACTTGGTGGACAAATTCATTTGCTGGGTTCTCTGCGGCGGCCCCGTGCGGCACATCGTGGGCTTCAGCGTTTTCAACTTCCGCGTCTTCCCGCCCGACTCCCTCGTAGACATTGCAGGACACACTGACTCCCAGCGAGTTTTCTTTTGGCGGCTCTTTTCTGCAAATTCTTTCCCGCGAAGTCCTCAGGACTTCCCAGAAGCGCCGCCCGCGGGGCCGCTGCTTTCCTTCCGGGCCGCGCTGGAGTTGGGTCGAAACGAAAGCGCGGGCGAAAGCTTTCTCTCCGGCGCACCTGAGGAGTTTGAATCGACGAAAAGGTTTTTTGCTGCCGCGAAATACATCCACAACTACGAAAAGGAGGTTCTCGAAGAAGACTTGAACACTTCGTTCAAGTTCGCCCAACACCTGGCCGACTTGCTTGCGAGGCGCTGCCGCTGGATGGCCCAGCAGCCCCACCTGCGGGACTTGGAAGTGCAGCAGCAGTTCTTCCTCGAATTTTGGGACGCCAGCAGTTTGGCCGGGGAGGAAAGCAGTTTGCTGCGGCAGCAGCAGCGGCGGCAGCAGCAGCAGGGGCACTCGCGGCGCCCTCTGCGTGCGGAATTCGAAGGCTCCGCGCCGGCAAAAGGCCAAGTAAATCTGAATAAGTTCATGCAAACTTTGCTGCGGCCTGAGTCGCCCCACCTGCGGAAAGCCCTGGTCCCGGGCGACCTGTTTGACTGGCAGGCGCGGCTGCTGCAGCAGCAGCGGGAAGCACTTCGCCAAGAAATGGAAGCTGCTCTTTCTTCGCTGCCTGAAGAGTGGATTGATGGAAACTGGACTTTAAGTCGGGCTCTGGAGGAACAGGCGACTCGCTGGCGCTGGGCAGCAGATGCTGCAGACCTGCAGCAGCAGCGGGAAGCAGACCGAGCTGCGCGCGAGCAGCAGCAAGCCTGGGAAAAGGAATATAAGTCTAGGGAGCTCAAAGAGCGAAGAAGACAACTCGAAAGAGAGGCCCTGCAGCCTCCAAACCTCCACGACTTCTTTTTTTCTTGAAGTCCAAACGCCAGAAACTGGTCTTCCTCGTTTTACGTTTTCCGAATTTCAAAAGTCGAAGAAGGAATTGAGCTATAACTCTTCCACTACACTGCAGCCAGACTCTGCTCCGAGGTGGACTCTAGGGCCTTGAAAGCCTCTCAACTCTAAACCCTAAACCCTAAACCCTAAACCCTAAACCCCAAACCCTCCTAAACCCCCTAAACTGCGTATCCCTAAACCCTCGTAGCTCGGAGTCTCGGCTACCAGTTGCACGATTAACAGATGATGCCGCCGAGAGAAAAAGGGCGGCCGTCATCAGTTTCCTGATTTTGGAAATGAAAAATTCAAATCGGAAAGCCATTGGGAAACTGGTGGCGGCCTTACTGGAAAGCAGGGGGAAGCTTGGCGGCTACAAATGCAGAAGCTGCTGCAGCCAGAGGAGTCAACTGCGCAGAGAGAATGGCCCCTGCTGCAGCAGCGGCGAGCTGCTGCTGCTGCAGCAGACAGCAGCAAGAGGATCCTCAGCAGCAGAGCAACAGCAGAGGAATCCTCAGCAGCAAGCAGCAGCAAGGGGAATTCTCCGAATTAAATAAACCCCGAGGGCTGCTGCTGCTCCTCCGGCCCGGCAAATCGCCCGCGCTCGCTGGACCCCTGCTGCGGCGCGAAGCGGCTGTTCTGCTGCAGCATGCGCTGCGCAGCGATGCTGCTGGTCTTGCTGCCTGCAACAAACGGAACATGAACAGAGTTGAAGCCGCTGCGCCTGCCTTCGCAATTTAATGAACTGCTGCTGAGTCCTTGGCTGCGCGGAGAGGAAACTTGGCGAGTTGCGGTGTCTGTACTCTGCCGCCGCGTCCCGCCGAGTTCGTTCTGCTGCGCCTCTCGGCTGCACCCGCGGCTTCTTGCGCGCTCGCAAACTGGCCCATTGTGTTGTCCTGCAAAACAAAAACGAATTTATTTTAAAAAAGAATCCAAATATCTTCCAGAAGCTGTCGGGAGGACTTCATGCAAAGCCCAAACTCAGTCTCGGGTTTCTTGCAAAAGAAGAATGCGCAGCAGCCAGCTGCTTCTTTCTGCGTGTTTCTGCCTCCCGCCGCTGCTGCTGCTGCTGCTGCTGGCTGCAAGGAATTCGCTAGAGACTCTGCTGCTGCTGCTTAGGTGGCTCTTACTGATCGCTTTGCGTTGGCATTTGCGTCTACTCAGCCCACCCACCGCTTGTGCGTGGCTCATTTTGGCGGCGATCTCCCGACTCCCTCAGCGCAATTTCCCGGTAAACTTTGCGGATGGACAAGTTCACAATTCGGAAATATTCTTGCATTTGCGTGTCCGAGAGCTCTGCATGCAAGGAGCAGCAAAGACGCAGCAGACGCTGCATGCTGCCAGTAGCGAACTGCAGCAAAAAAAGTTTCAAAAACACGAAAAAAATAAGAGACAGCTTGGGGCCCGCAGACTCACCCGCGTAGTTCGCGTCTCCGTTCAGAAACAGCAGCCGGCGAAGTTTGTCTTCGAGATTTCTTTCAATTGCAATAAGTCTTTGGAGATCAACATCATAGCTGTTGACTTGTTGAGTCATAATTCCCTGAGAGAAAGCATTTAAATTGCAGCACAAGTCCGTCGAAGTGGAGGGAGTTCGCAGCAAACGGAGAAGCTTTTCCGAAAAGAATAATAAAAAGTGCGAAGTGGATTTGCACACTTTTGAAAAACTCACCTGCAACTTCTTGTATGCCTTCTTGTACTGACAGTGCACCGCGCGAATGTGCTCCAAGTCGTCGCCAAGAGCTTTTATTTCTTGCAAAGCGGACTCTTGAACTGCAACGCATTCGTCGGGGCCAATCCTCGCCACGGGCTCTTCAGGAATTGCAAACTGCAGCAGCAATCCGCAGCAGCAAACCGCAGCAGCAAAAACGCTGCACTTTGCGCTGCAGCACGAGCCGCTCAGACACGGCCACGGCGCGTTCTTTCGAGCAGCTAAAGTCGGGAAAAATGATTTCGAATACTTTTAAATGCCTTTAGATGGGTTATAAGTGCAGTTTTAAATACTTTTTTGCTTGAATTTAATGCCCAGCTGCTCGGAATACTCACAGAGGACTTCGGCTCAGGAAGGCAATTCGAAGAGTAGGGCAAAAGCTGCTTCGGCTTTTTGCGGCTGTCTTCCGAAGAGCGGCCCGCCCGCTGGGCCTGAACGACTGTCAGCTTGTACTGGGCTGCAGCAGCAGCATGCATGCAAAAAAAACAAATATGCGAAGTTAGAATCTTTTAAAAAGGCATTTACCCTTCTCAAGTGAAAGAGGACTCTGCACACACTCAGTGCGTCGACAGTGCATGCATGCAGCTGCAGTTCACGCAGCCAGGAAGCTGTACGCACTTCCTTCGAGTTCTTGTGCAAGTTCTTCGAGCTCGTCCACAGAACACGGCTGCAGGTCTTGGGCCTAAGTTGTAAAGAACCGCAAGAACACGAAATAGGAAAAGGCAGCTGCAGCGCAGCAGCAGGCTCGGGCTATTTCTGCCTGCCATTCATGTTTTCTGTACTTCACTTCTGCTGCAAAGAAAGTTCCCTAACACTTCCAGAATGGGTCAAAATAAAAGAAAATTAAAGAGAAAATAAAGAATTACCGTTAAGACACTTAGGCGTTTTTCCACTTCTTGCATTTGCGTGTGCCGCCTTCCGTAGCAGACACGGCAGTCCGCAGCTGTCTGCTGCAGCGAGCTGTGGACTTGATCCGCCTGCGGAAAGTTTTGCAAAAAGAAGATTTGCAAGAACAGTGATCTCTAGCAGGCTTAATGAGGAAAATATAATAGAAATAAACCCTAAATGGGGGAGAAACTTACTGCTTTCAATGCGCTGTAGTAGCTTGAAACTTCGTGTGACTGCACTTCCAGCTGCTGATGCAGTGTATCGAGCTTCCCGCGGAGCTTCGCCAGCTTGTCCAGGGCAGTTGACAGTCTGAAGATCAGTTCACAAAAACGCTCCAAATGAGTTCAAAACTTGCAAACGTTTGCCCCAAACATGACAAAAAAGCCCATTAGGAGACAAATAATATACAATAATCTCATGATCCTCGAAACACGCACAGGACAATGCTCCAGGCTGTGCAAGACATGTGAACTGGCGCCACTTACACCATCGACGGATCTGTTTGCAAATCTTCTGGAATACCTGCAGCTGCACAAGAATACAAAAGAGAAACAAAAATGCGGCTTGTATGAGTGATTATTTGGAGAATAATTTCTGAAATTCACCGAAAATTGCAATTTCAGAAGTTTTGCAAAACCACCAGCTTCCCCCACCACACGACCTACTGGTCTCTTTGTCATCAGAAGTGTCGACGCTGGCCGTGCGGGAGAAGAAGCGGCCGCAAGGAGCTGGGGGTTGAAGAGTTTGCTGTCGGCCTCCTGCTGCGCTGCAAGACTCTCTTTCCTCAGGGACATCTGCGTCTGCTGCTGCTGCTGCTGCA